CCAGGGTCTGCAGAAGGCCTCCCTCATCTTACTCTCCTCACCCAAGTCCCAGGCGCCAAACACTTCCCAGACCAGTCCTCTCCTGAGCTGTGGTTTTTTGGAGTGGAGGTTCTTTCTCTGCTACTCTTTCTTGCTCTAGGTTGATTTCAGATGACTTAAGGGATAGAGCTTTTTCTGCTACCTCTCTAACAGAAAGTTATTTTACCTCTTTACTTTGCTGAAGTTCTTTGCAACAAACCCAACAGATTGGTTTTTTTTGTAGTTCTTTGGTTTTATTTTCTGAGATAAAAAAAGGAAAGGCATAAATATTTTTAAAATAGTCTTCTTGATGATACCTTTTAAGGTAACTTATCAAATGGCTTATTTATGTCTCCTGATTACCAGTACTCATCACTGTCATTGTCAGTCTTGATTAACTGACTGACAATTTCAGGTAAAATAAGAAAATTTTCTGAACCTTTTTCCAATCCCTGAGAATCAAAATCATCACAGCAATATTTTATTCTTTCATTAAAAATCTTTGGAAAGTAGTCACGTTTGTTCATTGATCACAGGACAAGGAACAGTGCCATTAATCCATGTAAATTGGCTTCCACCCAAACAGAAATTTTCTGAAAATCACAAATGTGAGTCAGGAAAAAATCAAAGAAGGAAAATAACATACACCATTCAGCTGCAGTAGTGACCATGTGAAACACATAACGGTTGTCCTCAAGACTCCAGTGGAGTTTCTGTACTAAATCAGTGCCAGAATCACCACTGTGCAAAATTGATGTCAAGTCAGCATGCTAAACACACTCCCTCACACCAGACAACCAACAGTAGTCTGATGCAGAAGACTCGGTTGTCATGAATTTTGGGCTGCATTTGGTAGAAAAGTATGGTCTGAACAAACATATATAGAGTCCTTACCAAAGATGAGCATAGCTTCACTTAAATGTGCAATGAAAGAGTTGTTTTCTGGAAATTTGCCACAAGAGAAAGTCCTAAACAACACAGTATTCCAAGTACAAGTTTAGCCTTGTTCAGTGTGATGATAAGGTTCTCTTCAAGATTAAGGGCATAAACTTGCTTAGAACATAAATGGTAGCAATGCATAAAACTGCATTGACATTTAGCACTGCCTCAAACAAGCATTTTTCTGGAGCTTCTGTACTAGTGTCACTGATGTAAGGCAAAGCAGGGTGGACATGGTGAGCGCTATGGCAGTAATGTATGAAGATATGAAAGCAGCAGATGTCCAAATTACAAGAGCTAAAGGAGGGAAACTGAGACATTGATGAAACCACATTTCAAACAGGTCTTCTGTTTTGTTAATTCACAAAATTTCAGTCTTCAGAACTGCCCAAACCTGTTCTTTTTACAATCGTATCTTCTCTGCTTTCTTTGAAGTTCCATGAATCAAAACTCCAGACACAAGTTTTTCACAAATATTTTAAAGCCACTGTCAATAAGAATTTCTTTCTTTCTTTCTTTCTTTCTTTCTTTCTTTCTTTCTTTCTTTCTTTCTTTCTTTCTTTCTTTCTTTCTTTCTCTCTCTCTCTCTTTCTTTCTTTCTCTCTCTCCTTCTCTTTTTTTGGTACTTGGGTTTGGATTCATGGTCTACAACTTGAGCCACTCCACCAGCCCTATTTTGTGATGAGATATTTTGAGTTAGGGTCTCTCGGACTATTTGTCCAGGATAGCTTCAAACTGTGATCCTCTTGATCTTTGCCTCCTGAATAGCTGGGATTATAGAAGTGAGCCACCAGGGCCCGGCTAAGATGAATTTCTGTCTCTTCTAAGTGGTCTGGCTGACCCCACAAGTGCCAGCTGTGGGCTCTGGAGCCTGCTGGCAGCAGAAGACAAGGTGGAATCCTAGAGGATTACAGGTGGTTCTCAAGCAGCCAGGCCAGTTCGAGGCACGCTGCTGCTCTTTCCGACCCCTTTTCCCAACAGATTTTTTAATTTAAATTTTCTTCTTCTTCTTCTTTTTTTTTTAGTGGGATTGGGGTTTGAATTCAGGGCTTAATGCTTGAAAAACAGACACTACTGATCGAGTCATGCCTCCAATTCATTTTGCTCTGGTTATTTTGGAGATGGAATCTTTTGAACTATTTTCTCAGTCTAGTCTCAAACTGTGATTCTCTCAAACTCAGCCTCCCAAGTAGCTAGGATTACAAACTTGAGCCACTGGTGCCCTGCCTTAATTTTCATTTTTGACTTGCTGGGGATGGAACTCAGGGCCTTCCATACCTGATTTCATGGAATTGGTCACAGGTGAGATGCAGGTGTGCTAAAAATATTGTATAAAATGATCTTCAGGTTATGTACATAAGGTGTATAAGAAACATAAGTGAATTAAGTGTTTAGACTTGGGTCTCATCCCAAAGGTAGGAGTCATGTCAAATAGAAGCCATACACTGCAGGACGATGAAGTTCCTAAAAGCACCCTTTATATGGCTTAGGTGCTCATATAAGATGCTATGTGGTCTTTTTACACCACAGGAAAATCTGCCAAGTCCCTTTCTCTCCAGGGCTAAGAGGTTTAGAATGGAGTCCTCTGGGAGGTATCTGTGAGAGCTGGACACTCAGTGTGAAGGCAAGCTGGGAATCAATGGGGCTGCATTTTTTTTTTTAAAGCCCCATTCTCTATACTGCTCCTAGAAGCCCCTAAAGCACTTGAGGGCTCGCAAAACAGTGCCACTTTTTTTCTGGGGTTCAGAGAGATTCATGGGCTTCCAATTCACTCTCCTGGAGCTGGTGAATTAGCGGCCAAACTGTGGGGAACCTCAGTGTCAGGTCATCACATATGGAGTCCAAACCCTCAGCTCCATGGGAGAAGCTGGATGTTGGGGACTCCTGGCAGATGGCATTGTGCTGGGGCAGAATATGTGCCTGAGTGTTCCTTAGGTTTCCTACAGTCCAAGGTGGATGTTTTCTCTGTTGGTGGATGGGTTGGAATCTGTCAGTTGGCCTCTGACTTTCTCTCAGGGGAAACGGATCTTAGGTATTGGTTGGATTGTGAATACAGTGAGAGCTTCCTATGCTGCCAAGGTGCTGGTGTGACTAACTACGGCCTTTTGCAGTGGGGATTGGAAGGCATTGGAGGAAGAATTCTCATCCATGGAGAGAGAAAGGACAAATAAAAGGACTGTCACTGGACAGAAGATGGATGCACACCGGGGCTGGGATAGTAGGAAGGTTACATGGTTCTATTTCAGGGCTGCTAAATCATGCCAACTTGATACTTGTCCTAGGCCACATTCCCTTTTCTTCTTCTTCTTCTTTTTTTTTTTTGGCAGCAGTAGGGTTTGAAATTAGCTAGCCAAGCACTCTACCCTGAGTCATGCCTCTGGCCATTTTTGCTTTTATATAATTATCTATTAAGATGATCATGTGTTTCTTGTCTTTTATTCTGTTTATGATCTGTTTTGTGTTTATTGATTTTCAAATGTTGAACCATTCTTGCATCCCTGGAATGAAACCAACTTGATCGATTATCTTTTTGTTGTCGTTGTTGTGATATTGGGTTTTGAAGTCAGTGCCTTGCACTTGGTAGACAGGTGCTGTACCACTCCCAGACATTTTTTGCTTTAGTTATTTTTCAGATAAAGTCTCCCAAGTAGCTGGGATTACAGGTGTGCACCACACCTGGTCCCCCTTTTTTCTTTTCTTTAAAATTAAAAAAAAATTCATGTCATCCTTGTGCAGGGGCCATGCTAATCTTCTCTGTATCATTGCAATTGTAGTAAATATGCTGATGAAGTGAACACCCTTTTTTCTTTTTTAAACTACAAAGTTATATGTGCTTGTTGGAAATAAAGTCAATTACAGGACTGTATAATACAGAAAATAAAAGTCCTCTGTGTTCTTCTACTTCCTATGTGTAGTTTCAAGTATAGTTCTTGTAATAATAAGTGCAAATATGTGTTTTTTATTTTTAAAAAAAATTTCCCCCTTTTAGCAACTGTAGGGTAGGAGTTGGTGGAAGAGGGGTAAGGAGAGGGCAAGGGGGGAGTGAAGAGATTTGAAGTATATTACACACACACACACACACACACACACACATGAAAGTAGCACAATGAAACTCACCAAAAACTGAAAAAGTGAGGGTGGGTAGAGAGGGGGTTTAAAAGAATATAATGGAGGGATGAACTTTCTTGTAGTATAATGTATGCATCTATGGAAATTGTCACAACGAGTTTCCTGTGTGCTATTAATGATTCTGAAAATTATAATAGAAATGTAAAATAATTCCCCATTTTAATTATATATTTTTAATATTTACAATATGATGTTTTAATGTACATATGTGTATCAAAAGTTATTACAATTAAGCAAATTAACATATCTATCCACTCACATTTCTCTCATTTACGTTTGTGTGTGTGCACAGTAAGTGCACCTGAGGTACTGGCAGAGTGTCACCTAGCAGGTGCAAGGCCTTGAGTTCAAACCCCAGTGCCATACAAGCACAAAAAGAGTACCTTAGATCTTTCTTAATAAGTTTTTTTTTTCCTGGTGATTGAACCTAGGACCTCACAGATGCTGAGTGCTCTACCTCTGAGCTAAACCCCTAAAATCCCCTTGAATCCCCTATGATCTTACGAACTACAGCCCTCATACTGTCCATCAGATCTGGACTTACTCTCCTATGTAATCACAACTATGCTGCCTTTGATCAACATGGCCTCATTTCCTTCCCCTTCCAGGGCCTCTTAGTCATCATTCTATTCTGTTTCTATGTATTTGACTTATAAAAATGCAACATAAAAGTACCAACGTGCAGCATGGTACCTTCTCTATCTGGCTGGTTTCATTAGCATAATGTCTTAGTGTGTTTGTGCTGCTCTAACAAAACAGTACAGACTGGGGGGGCTCAAGGGTAGCTCATTGCAGAGCGCTGACCTAGCACACACAAGGTTCTGGGTTCCATCCCCAGCACTGTTTAAGAAAAGGTACCACAGACTGGGTAATTTGTGAACATTTTGAGTTTATTTCTCACAGCTCTGAAGGCTGGGAAGTCCAAGAACATGGTGCCAGGTGAAGTCTGCCCTTTGTTGCCAAGATGGTGCTTCATTGCTGCATCCCCTGGAGATAGGAATGCGGTGGGCTCACATGCTGGAAAAAGGGAAAGGGCATTGACTCTCCTACAAGCCCTTTTAGAAGGCATGGTGTGGGGGACTCATGACTTCCTCACCTCCCACAGGACTCACCTTTAATTCTGTTGCATTGGGGATTAATTTTCCTCCTGAAATTTGTAGAGAACACAAGAATTCAAACTGTAGTACACAATAGCTCCCAGGATTATCAAATTGTCACAAAAGACAGACAGAACTCCTTTTATTTCAGGCTGAATGATATTCTACAAATATGTATTTGAAAAATAAGTAATACTATATATACTTTCTACAACTTTCCTAATCTAATTGAATAATATGGTGTCCTTCCAGGTGATGAGTGCTGTCAGACCAGACCTGACCAATAGAATTCTCTGCAATGATCCTGCGGTTATTTTCTTTGCTATTGTCATTGCAATAACCACTTCCCACATGTAGGTACTGAGTCCTAAAAATATTTCTAATGAACTGGAATTCTTAATTTTAATTAGCTTAAATTCAAATTCCATTGGTCACATGTGGTAAGTGGTCCCTCTCCTGGAGAGGGCAGTGTTGGGTACATGAAAAATGGTTGAAAACTCTGTAGCTTAGGACAATGGAGAAGAAGGAGGGAAATTGACTTCCCCACAGGCCAGCAGTGGAGTGATTAGAACATCATCTTGTCTGTCCCAGGGCCGGATTTAGGAAGGGTTAGAGGTGCACTGCATGTCACTGCAGTTCTGTTTGCTGTCCATGGAACAGTGTCTTCTGTTTTGGGTCTTTGTTTCACTTATACTTTCATGGCTTGTGTCTGCGTTTTTGAGTCTGGAAAACCCTTGTACTTCACCTCACCTTGCTCTTTTCCAAGCACCATTCGATTGCCTGGGCCTGTTTCTTTCCCCTCAGCCTTTAGCAGGTTGTTATCTTTGTCGTCCATACCAGTGTGGATTTACTATTTTTTCTGTGTGGATCTACATTTTTCCCCCTCTGTTTTACTATTCAGTCTTTTTGTTTTTATAGTACTGGGGTTTGAACACAGGCCTCACGCTTGCTAGGCAGGCACTCTACCTCTTGAGCCACTCCATTATCTCTTCTCTATATTATTAATTTGAAAGCCTTTGTGGTAATTTAGGTTTGGAACCTGATGACCTGGGTTTCAGCTCACTGTGCCCTGCCCAAGTGAGCTTTGGGTGCTTAATGAAGGCCATTGGTTTTCTTTAGTGAACAACAGTGCATTACTTTTCTCTGTGGGGCTTTTGTTTTCTTGAATGATTGTATCCCATTCATTGTATGTTATTCTACTTTGTGATCTGGCTTTATTTGTATTGGTTTTGATACCACCATATCTGAAACAAATTTTTTTTAGAATATATAATAACACAGAAAACATGGTGATTTTTTTTCTTGACCAGTTTCATTATGATTTGGATATGCGTCTTCTCAAAATTCTGGAACTACATTTGAATATACTTCATACTTTTCTGTCACTTTTGATTATTGTTTTCCAGGAAAAGCTGTGTTAAGGACAGAAGGTAAGGGTACAGGCCACTGAATGGCTGCAACATTCAGTGGGAAGTTGAGTGCCGAAGGCTGGAAATCCCATCTGCTTTTCAAGAACGTCACCTTGCTCTGAATGACTCACATTCTCAAACAACTGCAACCAGTTCACCAGTTGCATGATTCCTTTTCAAAACATTTCTCTAGTTCCATGTAAACCTTTAAGAATGGCTTTGAAGAATAGCACACAGCTGATTCCAGCACACAGCATGTACTGAGGAGGAGGAGCAAGTGGAATCCTCATACACTGCTGATGGGAGAGAAAGGTGATACAGCCAATTTGGAAGCACTTTGGTTATGTCTTAATCCCTTTGTGCTGCTGTAGAATACTTTAGACTAGGTAACTTCTGAAGACACTCAGGTTGTTTCCATACCTTGCTATTGACATTCATACTGTGATAAACATGGGTGCGCTGGTGAGATGGTGAGTTTATTTCCTATATACCCAGAAGGATCGCTGATTCATTTAATAGTTTTATTTTTAATTTATTTAAAAACCTCCGTATTGTTTTCTGTCATAGCTGTACCAATTTCCATTCTTATCAACAGTGTGGAAGCCTTCCCCTCTTCTGCACACCCCAGCCACCACTTATCCATGTTCCTTTTTTTTTTTGGTGGGATTTGGGCTTTGAATTCAGGGCTTCATGCTTGCAAAGCAGGCACTCTAACACTTGAGCCACACCTCTAGTCCTTTGGTCTTTGTGATCTACTTATTCCCTAGATTTGAGGTGATGTCTCATCAAGGTTTTGATTTGCATTTACCTGATGATTGGTGACATTAAACACCTTTTCATCTAATTATACTTATTGGCTGTTTTTGTTTTCTCTTTGAAGTAAAGTCTATTCAGGGTCTTTGCTCATTTAAAAAAAGACAGATTGCTGTTTTGCTATTGGATCATGTGAATCCTCACATATTTTGTATTTTAACCCCTTATCACAGCTACATGATGGTTCACAGATTTTCTTCCTAACTCATTTTCACTCTGTTGATTGTTTCCTTCACTGTGCAGAAGCTTCTTGATTAGATTAGTCCCACTTGTTTATTTTACCTTTTGTTGCCTGTGCTTTTGATGAGATATCTGAAAAAAACTCCTTGTCTAGTCCAACAACAAGGAGCTTTCCCCCTATTTTCTTCTAGGAGTTTTATAGCTTCAGATTTTTTATTTCAGTCTTCAATCATTTTGAGTTGACTTTTGTATGTAGTAAAGGGCCCTATTTTCTTCTTTTGCGTGTGGGTATCCTGTTTTTCCAAAACCATTTATTGAAGAGATAATCTTTCCTTGTATCTTTTTGGTTGCCCTTATCAAAAATTAATTGAACATACATACTTGGGTTTATTTATGCACTTTCTGTTCTGTTCCTTTGGTCTACGTGACAGTTTCTATGAAGGCATGAATTTTGACTGCATGTAAATTATACCTCGGTTAACCTGACTGAAAAACCAATTCTCTGGTATGGCCAGTGGGCTCCCATCTTTCTGAGCATGTTTGATCTGCTTTCTCTCTTGATTTAGCATCTGAGGTCCTTGCTGCTCCTGTCTCTGCCCCTGAGACACAGCCATGGGTCTCAGAGGCACAAACAGCTTTCTTCTGTCAGAGAATTCTGGACATAGTTCTATAACAGTGGTAGCAGGAACAGAAACCAACTTCTGATTCCAGTTTCTTTGTACCAGGCTCTGTTTTACAGGCCTTCAATTTATTCATCTAATTAGTGCTCTGACAACCCTCTGTGACAGGTACCATTATTGATCCCATTTTACAGAGAAGAAAACTGAGGCACAAAGAGACTAAGCTATTTGTCAACATTCTTTTGCTGAACCTGCACTCATCCTTCTCACTCCAGGTTTCTACCCTTACCTAGGATGCTGGATGAATGCTTCTTACTCCAAGCACTGTTGAATTCATGCCTTTGTCAAGCTGTGGCCCTGTGGCCATCAAGAAGAGCAGGGGAAGCAGGTCTGTGTGTCTGTCTGTCCCCTCGCTTTCCAGGGACAAGGCAGGATGCTTTTCAGTGTTGGGTTCTTGCCTAGGATACACCCAGAGCTCCATAATATTAACCCAATGGGTGCGACTAAAGTCAGGAAGTAGAATTTATGCCTTAAAAATAACATGAGGGAAAGGGTGGGAGGGAAAGGGGGAGAAATGACCCAAACATTGTATGTACATATGAATTAAAAAAAAATAACATGAGAGGATGAGAACCTGTAGCTGTCTGCTGACCTCTCCATGCAAGGGGAAAGAACACAGGCTCTGAGGCGTAAAGCCAGGTCTGTCTCTCGATTGTCCACTTAGTAGCTCTGGCTGTATCCTTAATCTTACTTCCTCTCAGTAAAATTAACTCTCTAGTTTCTTAGAGAGTGGGGGAAAACTGGTTGAACATACCTGTTTCACTCTTTCTCCATTTCTTCTACAGGCTCAGGCTGAGAACTATTGATTCAGTTTGGAAAATCCAGCCATGTGAGTAACCGTTAGCCTCTGCCTTTGCCTATGATGCAAGCTTGTTCACTCCATGCTGAGACCACATCCTTCCTGCCCCTGCTGGGACTGTGACCACTATAAATTCATCTCATTTCCTCTCTGGCTGTCCTAAGGCTGGTGTCTGTGTGAGTCCAGCTCCGTGGAGCAGGGTGGACTAACGGCCTAGGTGAGGAATGGGAAGGCTACATCCAGGGGACAGGGTTTGTCTTGGTTAATGAACTAGGAATTTCTTCTTCTAGCCTCCAAGTCTGCCCTTCAACAGTATGCTGGAATGGTTGATCTTTTTAGCAGTGAATGTATGTGGCAGTGGGGGAGGGCAGAAGCAGCAACCATAGTTGACACCCAGGAGTTTAGCAGATTTGCCCAGCATCCCCACAGGGTAGCAGTGGAGCCGGATGAATATAAGGAAGTGAACCTTATAAGAGGAAGTGAACCTTGTAAGAGACCCAGGGGAAGTTAGAGTAAAGATCAGCCCTGTGTGTTTGGGTTTGTGTGCAGGTTGCAGAGGACTGGGAAGTCCTGGTGTGGATGGGCAGAGCTGGGAGGAGCAACAGAGTTGGGCATCTGTCTGGAGAAACTCTTATGATGCATAAAGGCATGGACTTCAGGGTAGTGAGGCGGTAATAGTGGAGATGAGCTTGAATGTCGAAAGTGATCATGTCAGTTCCAGTTTGGAAAGTCTCACAACTCTCTAGGCTCTCTCCTTTCATTTGTCATTACTATGGCTTTGAGTTGATGTCCTCTTTTGCTAAATACAGTAAAATGAAAGAATCAAGGAGGGAACAATTCTAAACAAAGCCAACTTGTTCATCCATCCAACCGCTGGGAGATATGGCAGAGTTAAAGGTAACAGCAGGTGATTCTTAGCCTGGGTGGATCTTGTACTTTAGTATGGAAAACTGTGTTGGTGGACATTGCAACAGAAATGCTGTGATAAATGCTGGAAAGTGTTTGCTTTTTACCCATCTATTTCATTGTCTTTGATTGCTTGTTTCTGTCTGACTGAAACACCTAGGTAAGGAATGAGATACATGGTCTATATCCTGGCTATGAGCCACTGAACAAGATGCCAAGTTTCTCTAAGACTCAATCTATGCATAAAATGTCAGAGGGAATATACACACTACACAGGGCTTTGTGTAGGTTACCTGAGGAAAAAAGCCATACAGTGGGTGCTGGTGGCTCATGCCTGCAGTCCTAGCTCCTCAGGAGGCAGAGATCAGGAGGATCACAGTTCAAAGAAATAAGAGCACCTGCCTAGCCAGCTTGAGTCCTGAGTTCAAACCTCAGTGCCACTAAAAAAAAAATGTTTATCACCTAACCCATGAGAAATTCTAAATATGAGTTACAACACTTATTGTAATTGTGAATTTTGCAAGGAGACATAACAGAGATGTATGTTTATTATTCCCCTAGGCACTCAAGTTCTATTTGTCTTAGTTTCTGTCAATCAATGGAGGACTATCTCCTCCTCCACATGGCACTAGGTTCTCCCTCTGTGTGCTGGTTTGTGATTTTCAGTTACTGATCGTCTGACCTTCTCTTTCCTTTGTTCATCTGGTCAAAATAGAAGCAAGAAACCAAAACCTTCAGATAGAAGGAACTGGAAAGCAATCTCTTCTGCTCTCTTACTTTAAAAAATGAGAAAACTTTTGTTAGGGTCACAGCCCGGTCACCAATGAAAACGAAGTTCTCTTGTGATATGTTAAGGTGGCCTCATGTTTTTCCCTGTCCACTGTAATATGATCATGTTTAGAGATTAATTTATCTATTTATTTTTATCTCTATAGGGAAACTTTTCTTCCATGGCTCAGGGAATACTCCTGGATCAAGTCAATAGGAGAACTTTCTGGTAAGCAATTGGCTCACTTACCAAAATTAAAGATGGTGACTCATGATAGTTAATTGATAATTTTTACTTTGAGTTTTCTGAATTAAAAAATTTTAACTGATACATAAAACTTGTATATACTTATGGGGTACCCCATGATGTTTTGATACATGTATAGAGTTTTCTGAGTTTCTGATCATTTAGATGTCCTTAAATAGAGACTTTAAATAAGGCTCTTTTTACTCATGTGCTGTTTTCACTGCCTGGTGTGACAGTGTGGACCTAAGTGCAAGGCACCTAAAAAGGGCTGCTGATGAAGATGACGAGTACCCGTTGCAAGCTGGCCCACTACCTGGAAGACCTGGAAGATGTAGACCTTAAGAAATTCAAAATGCATTTGGAAGATTACCCTCCTCAAAAAGGCTGCATCCCACTCCCCAGGGGCCAGACAGAGAAGGCTGACCACGTGGATCTAGCCACACTCATGATTGACTTCAATGGGGAGGAGAAAGCATGGGCTATGGCTGTGTGGATTTTTGCTGAAATCAACAGGAGAGACCTTTATGAGAAAGCTAAGAGAGAGCAGCTAGAGTGGGGTGAGTGAAAGGAAGACCATTAAAAAAAATACTTGCAGGAAAGTACACATAATGCAAAATGTATGATCTTAGTAATTTTAACTGTACAGTTGTGAGAAAGTTCACATTGTTGTACAGCTAATCTGTGACATCTTTTCATGTTGCAAAAGTAAAATTCCTTACCTATTCATTAAACAGTAATTCTCCACTGCCCCATCATCCCAGCCCCTAGTAAGCACCACTCTGTTTTCTGTCTATGAACTGTTCTGTTTATGAACTTCAGTACTCTGAGTTCCTCACACAGGTGGATCATGAAGTATTTGTCTTTTGTGACTTAGCATGCTGTCTTTAAGTTTCACCCATGTCGGAGTATGTTAGAATTTCCTTTTTTTAAAAGACTGAATGATGCTCTATTCTCTCTCTTTCTCTTCCCTCTCTTTTCTCTCTCCCCGCCCCACACAGACACACACACATTTTGCTTATATACTCATTTGCCAATGGATACTTGTGTTACTTTTTCTTTCTTCGTTATTGTGAGTAATGATATTATGAGCATCAGTGTATAAAAATTTCTTCTAGACTATATTTTGAAATTTTTTGGTATATGCTTGGAAGTGGAATATGCATCATATAGTAATTATATGCTTAATTTTTTTTTGCGGTACTGGGGCTTGAACTCAGGGCCTCATGCTTACTAGGCAAGTGCTTCCCAGATTGAGGTTTTTGCTTGTCGTTGTTGTTAGCAGCTGCATCATTTTATATTTCTACCAACAGTGCACAAAAGTTCTGATTTTTCTGTAGCCTCATGAACATTTGTTATTTTCTTCTTCTGTAAAAAAAAGTCCAGGCTGGTCTCAAACTCATATGTAGCCCAGGTTGGCCTCAAACTTGTGGCCCTCCTGCCTCAGGCTCCCTTATGCTGACCCTCCTTTATTTTTATTCATTTATTTTTTTTGAGGTACCGGGGTTTGAATTCAGGACCTTCACCTTGGGCCACTCCACCAGCCCTATTTTTGTGATGCGTTTTTTTGAGATAGGGTCTTGCAAACTATTTGCTGGGGCTGGCTTCGAACTGTGATCCTCCTGATCTCTGCCTCCTGAGTGGCTAGGATTACAGGCGTGAGACCCGGGCTCCTGGCACTGACCCTCCTTTAATAAACAAACAAACAAAAAATCCCTGCAAGTCTAACACCCAATAAGTTTGATCGCTCATAGCATTCCTTTCCTAAAGGATCTTAAGATCATCTTATAAGGGCTACAGTGTTGACACCCATGAGATGACTTTGAGGGTGGGATCGAATAGTTTTGGTAACTAGTTAACCCTAGCAATGCGGTGGGCTGTAGTTTCCCTGCCTGGTATGCATAAAATGTCGCAATTCAAAGAACATAATGTTAGCTGTGGGACCACTGGTAAGGCAGTAAACACTAACTTCAGCATGATAATATGCGTGAAAATGCTTCTGAGTGACTTTAGACCTGGTGGCCATGTCCATGAATGCAACAACGAGTTGTTACCACAAATAGTGACAGCAGTGTTGGGGAATGCTGGCCATGTTGCTCGTACACCAGGGGGTGTAGTAATGCAGTCCTCAGCTCTGAGCTGGAACAGGGCACAGACAGGGCTCTCAAGGACATGGAGATGGAGGCTTAACTCTGCTGAAAGGGAATAACAGTTCTCAACCAAGTAGGCAGGGACTGTTCTTAGTTCCGCTACATAGAAGAAAAACAACCAACCTCCACTTAATTACCCAAAGACCACAGAAGCATAGCCTTCCCCTTCACCAAGCTGCATCTCTCCACTGTGTTTGGTCAAAGTAACTGTCCTAATAGTTACGAGGTGGCATCTCATTACAGCTTTTATTTGTCTTTCCCTAATGACCAGTTTTGTTTTGTGTTTTTGGCAGTGCTGGGATTTGAACTCAGGGCTTTGTGCTTGCTAGGCAGGTGCTCTAGTCACACCTCCAGCCCCTCCTAAATGACTAGTGATGCTGGCCATCTTTTCATATGTTTAATGATCATTTAGATCTTTTTTCCGTTTTAAAAAATTTTTCTGTTGATTTGTAGAGTAATATTCTGGATTAAATATATGATTTGCGAATATTTTTTCCCATTCTGTGGGTTATCTATTCACTGTTTTGTTTTTTTGTTTTTTTTGGTGGTACTGTGGTTTGAACTCAGGGCCTTACATTTGCTGAGCAGGTGCTCTACCACTTGAACTACTAAACCCATCTATTCACTGTTGATTATGTTCTTAGGAATTTAGTTATCTTTCTTCTTTTTCTTTTGAGGCAGTGTTTCACTATATAGCCTTACACTTGCTTTGTAGCCCTGGCTGGCCTCGAACTAGCTATCCTCCAACTTCAGACTCTTGTAGCTAGGATTACAGGCATGTACCACCATATTTAAAATAGTCATTTATTGTATTATCTTGTTTGTCTCCTATTTCTTCTTCTCATGATAGTGCTATGAGAAGATGGAGGAAAGTAGTTTGCTTTTTCTAACTCCTTAAAAACCTCAACTCAGATTTTAACCTACTGCTAGGAACCTGCCCCGATTAGTACCTTTCTATCTGAGACTCTCCAGTGCTTGGACCTGCCTTTAGTTTTCCACCCAGCTCCTCATATTACACATTTGTACAGTGTTTGAATCTTTGTATGGCTCGGGGGAAATCTTCATCCTTATAGGACTATGTAATTTGTGAGGAAAAGCCTTTCCTATGGCCACTACTTTGGGTGCTAGAATGGTAAAAATAAGACATTCTCTCTCTCCCCCACCCCTTCTTTGAGACTGTGTAGCCTAGGCTGGTCTGGAATTTGAAATACTCTTGCCTCAGCTCTTGAGTGCTAGGATTAAAGCCTTGAGCCACCACTCCTGGCCAGAGAAATTCTCTTAATCCCTGTGTACATGTTGAGGGTGAGGTTCTCCCTTCTGTTTCAGTGTTCTACATAAGGGAAGGATGTTAGGAAGGGCTCAGAGTAACCCAGAAAATCATAGGGTGATGATGTTGAGCTGGTGTAGGGAAAGGTGGAATGAAAATGAATCAATAGATAAGGAGACATATGGCAAGGCAGGGCAACAGCATGGCTATAAATGGAAGAAAGAGAAAAGTGATATGGGAGAATGAGACAGAGGTCTCTCTCTCTCTCTCTCTCTCTCTCTCTCTCTCTCTCTCTCTCTGTTTCGTGCTGCAAAATGAACATGCTGGGCAAGAACTCTACTACTGAGCTATATCCCAGCCTGGTCCATGGCCATCCTGAGGACATGAGGAGAGTTCGGAGACAGTCTCAAAATCAGGGTGCCAAGGGACTACCAGAGACAGATGAGGATAAAAGAAACATTGCCTGCCTTACATGTTTGCTGGGTGATTTCTGGACTGGGAAAGAGAGTCTGAGTTTGGTTACAGTGGGGACACAATGCTTAGCAGGTGGGTGACAGCTGTTATTTCAAACCACTGGACTCCTGAACCATGTTTTGATTTGGGAGATGTCTAGGGCAGGAGCCTGTGGCCCCTGCCAAGTGTTAGACTAGGTGTCAATTGCATCCTCTGTATTTGGAATTCTGGGTTTTGACATTTTGTATTTTTTTTAACTTTTGTCTTTAGATACTGCACATGCTTCTCATCCCACTGTGGTTTGCCAGGAAGACAGCATTGAAGAAGAGTGGTTGGGTTTACTGGGGTTCCTTTCCAGAATCTCAGTTTGCAAAAAAAAGAAAGGTAAGTAATGGGAGTGCTGCTTCCAATCGGGTGTGAAGACCTGGATCAGGAGGAACTGGGAAGCTGAGTAGCTACATGCTGTTGCTCCTTGGGATGTAAGGCCTTTCTCAGGAAATTCACTATCCGATGAAGAAGCAGATTCATCTTTGCATGGCTCCTTGTAGTCCCAGAACCAAGAGGAAGTGATTAAGTGTTTATGTTTTAAAAGACCTGGGCTGCAGACTTAAGGTATAAGACTAAAACAGGATTTTTCTGACTGGTGGCTGCACATGTATCACTGGTATTCTGGTCAATTGTGCAATATGAAATTTTTTTTTTGCCTCTTCAATTTTTAACATATTGGTCTTTCCCAGTTATAACTGCAGGTAGTTTTTAATTTGTTCATTGATTTAACTTAGTATTTTCTTGGGGCTCATGATGAATGCCCTTGATTTGTAACTTGAATCCACCCTCTTGTTTTGGTTCTGAAGTCTTCTTACTATTTCTCTAGATGAGACTTCAGCTTCTCCATGGCTCTGGCTTATGACACATCAATTTTTTACTGCAAACAAGAGCAGTAAGACAAGCAGAAAGAAATGTTCATATTTTGGGCATCACTTAACAGCACAATTTAGTGAATCTTTATCTCTGTTAAGCAATTATAGAACTCATAATGGTTACAGCAGAGCTAGGCCCATGACTTGTACATCTCAGATGCAATAATTGTAATGATTATTTTATATTCTGATAAAAAATTAACATAATTAGACATGGTGAAACTTCCTTGGTACCTTATAGAGATGTTCATAAAGAATGTAACAAAAATATGATTTTTGTAAATATTTAGTACATTATGAAATCTGTATTTCATATGCATTTTACCTTCATACTGAGCTTAATGATAGAAAACTTTGCTTTGTGGTATAGCTGAAACCTGCCTGATTTGTTGAGGTTTTTGAGGAATCATATTTGATTTTCTTAATTTTATTTATTGTTTTCTAGTACATTGATTTTTTTCTCTTACATTTGTTAACAGTTACAGTAATATTAAGTCATGATGCTTAATCTTTTTGTTCTTATATGAAACATATGTATGATATACACCATGCATATATACAAATAACTCACTATATGAAAAATTTAACACTAGAGTTTCTGGGAATTTTCATACCTGAGTAGTGGAGCCAAATTACCTCTTATTTCTCCGACTCTATTGTCATTTCCTCTGTATTGCAATTCTTTTTAGGAATACAGACTTACTTCTATGTGAATTTGTATCTTATGTTGCATCTAGACACATTTGCAAAGCAGTAGTAGCATATGTGCAGTTGGGAATGTACTGTTTTCTAGTTGACAGTCAGTGCTCATCCTGCATTTGTGTTCTTGGGTCTTTATACTTCTAGCACTCTTTTATAGAGCATAGGCCCCTTTACTGCTTATCTCAGGTAGGTGTGTGGGGATTTTCTTGTAGTCTAACTTTCTGTCACTGCCACAGATTACTGTAAGAATTACAGAAGACATGTTAGAAGCAGATTCCACTGCATTGAAGATAGGAATGCACGTCTGGGTGAGAGTGTGAACCTCAACAAACGCTACACACGGCTGCGGCTGGTCAAAGAGCACCCAAGCAAGCAGGAGAGGGAGCATGAGCTGCTGGCTATTGGCAGGACCAAGACGTGGGACAGCCCCATGAGTCCCATTAAGTTGGAATTCCTGTTTGATCCTGATGACGAGCACTCTGAGCCTGTGCACACAGTGGTATTCCAGGGATCGGCAGGCATTGGAAAAACAATACTGGCCAGGAAGATTATGCTAGATTGGGCATCGGGGAAACTCTTCCAAGACAAGTTTGACTATTTGTTCTACATCCACTGTCGTGAGGTGAGCCTCGTGACACTGAGAAGTCTGGGGGACCTGATTGCCAGCTGCTGCCCTGACCCAAACCCACCAGTACACAAGATTGTGCGCAAGCCCTCCAGGATCCTCTTCCTTATGGATGGCTTTGATGAGCTGCAAGGTGCCTTTGATGAGCACATAGGGGCACTCTGCACGGACTGGCAGAAGGCTGAGCGGGGAGACATTCTCCTGAGCAGCCTCATCAGAAAGAAGCTGCTGCCTGAAGCCTCTCTTCTCATCACTACGAGACCAGTGGCTCTGGAGAAGCTGCAGCACTTGCTGGACCATCCTCGTCATGTGGAGGTCCTGGGTTTCTCTGAGGCCAAAAGGAAGGAGTATTTCTTCAAGTATTTCTCCAATGAGGTGCAGGCCAAGGAAGCCTTCAGGCTGATCCAGGAGAATGATATCCTCTTCACTATGTGCTTCATTCCTTTGGTCTGCTGGATTGTGTGCACGGGGCTAAAGCAGCAGATGCAGAGTGGCAAGAGCCTTGCACAGACCTCCAAGACCACCACTGCTGTCTATGTCTTCTTCCTTTCCAGTCTGTTGCAATCCCGAGGAGGGAGCCAGGAGCACCTCCTCTCTGCCCATCTCCAGGGCCTCTGTTCTTTGGCTGCAGATGGAATCTGGAACCAGAAAATCTTATTTGAGGAGTGTGACCTCAGGAATCATGGCCTGCAGAAGGTGGATGTGTCTGCTTTCCTGAGAATGAACATATTCCAGAAGGAAGTGGACTGTGAGAAATACTACAGCTTCATCCACATGACATTCCAGGAGTTCTTCGCGGCCATGTACTACTTGCTGGAAGAGGAGGAAGATGAGGTGATGATGAGGAAAGTGCCTGGGAGTTTAGAGCTTCCGAACCGAGATGTGACTGTCCTCCTAGAAAATTATGGCAAATTTGAAAAGGGGTATCTGATTTTTGTTGTCCGTTTCCTCTTTGGCCTTGTAAATCAGGAAAGGGCCTCCTATTTAGAGAAGAAATTAAGTTGCAAGATCTCTCAGCAAATCAGACTGGAGTTGCTGAAATGGATTGAGGTGAAAGCCAAGGCTAAGAAGCTACAGATCCAGCCCAGCCAGCTGGAATTATTCTACTGCTTGTATGAGATGCAGGAGGAGGACTTTGTGAAAAGGGCGATGGACCACTTCCCCAAAATTGAGATCAATCTCTCCACCAGAATGGACCATGTGGTTTCTTCTTTTTGCATTGAGAACTGTAGCAGTGTAGAAACACTTTCCCTGGGGTTTCTCCATAACTCACCCAAGGAGGAGGAGGAGGAAGAAGAAAGTCAACACCATGGCACAGTCCAGTGCATGCTCCCAGGTCCTCATACTGCCTGCTCTCACACGTAAGGAATGTTGGTCTCAACTATGTGGTAGAGTATGCCCTCTGCTTTCTGGATACTTTTCTTGATACTTTCTTCTTCTCTTTGCAACTATCTTCCAAATATAACTACAAGCTACATATTAATGCTACCACCACCACCACTCATTTCTATCAGACCCCTTCATTGGTAGAGATTTACTCATGTTAGGTGGATACATGGGATGAGAAAAAAAAACAGTAAAATAAGGAACAAACATTCTGGGGGAATCCTAATTCAGAACAAGGTACGAGGTGGGACAAATTCATAAACTTAAATTGCTTGTAATCTACTTGGAGCTCTAGTGCGTAGTCTTAGGTCATTTTGTGCTGCTTTAAAACAATACTTGAGATGGGTAATTTCTAAGGAACAAAGGTTTACTTATAACAGTTCTGGAGACTGAGAAGTCCAAAATTGAGGGGCCCATATCTGGAGAGGGCCTTTGCACTGTGTCCTCACCTGGTGGAAGGAGAAAGGCAGCTTCATGGGGTTCTGTTTTATAATGGCACTGATTATGATTGTGGGGTCTCTACCCATATGATCTAACCACCTTCTGAAGATGCCACTTTCTGATTTCATCAACCTGGGGATTTAGTATATCAACCTACAACTTTTTTTGAGAGGAAGGGCAACTTTGAGACCATATGGTCTCAATGGGAGAGGGAGAGAATAAGAGAAAGGGAGATGAAGAAAGCAGACCTAAAGCCCAGTATAGGTGGCTCATGCCTGCAATCCTAGCTACTTGGGAGCCTGGGATCAGGAGGATCATGGTTTGAGGCCAGCCCAGGCAAATAGTTCCCAATATTAACCAGAGCAAAATGGACTGGAGGTGGAGCTCAAGGGGTAGAGCACCTGCTTAAGTGAGAAGCACCGGGTTCAAACTGCAGACACTGCCCCCCGTCCCCCCCCTCCCCCCCACCCCGGCCACACACACAAAGAAGGCAGACCTGCTTCTTAAGGTTCTAAAAGCAAGGTAGAGAGGATAAGAGGTGTGACCAAGACACACTTCTCGAGGAAGTCTCACCAAGACTGATTAGGGGCCAGGCATCCATTTCCAGGGCAGAGTTTGCTTTCCACTTCCAAGAACCTTCTGAGGGGACCAGTGGTGTGGTTATCCACCAGGTGTCCATCGGAAGGTCAGAGTCATAGACCCAATCCTAGATGTACCTACACAGTCAGACTGTGTTTTAAAAAGATCTGTAGGGAATTCAATGTGAATCACTGGAAATAATTTAAAAACACCATCAATAAAGACTGTTCTCACCTCAGAGATTCTGACTTTACTTCTATGGGTGTAGCCTGGCTTAGGATATTTCAGAGTACTGTTGGTGCTAGTGTGCAGCCCAAGTGAGGGATGCTGTCCCAGAGTGTCCAGGCCAACAGTGGAACACCAGGCAGGACAGGAGGAGCTGGAAGATGCTCTTGTTCTTTCTAAGGTATGCAGAGCTCATCAACCCCTGACTCACCCAGCACTCTTCATTCTTCCATAATAATCTTTGGATTTGTGATCCATTTCTTAATTCATAGAAGGTCTTTTTTTCTTTCTCTTTGAGATAGTACCTCACTGTGTAGCCCAGTTTAACCTTGGCTGGAGATCCTCCTGCATCAGTTTCCCAAGTGCTGGGATTACAGGCACATACCTCTGCAACTGGCTACTAGGAGGTCTTTGTATGAACTGTTGCCAGGGGTCCTGGCCTTGCTCCAGTTTGTTATTATTAAAGACTGATTTTTCTTTTCTCTCCTTCTGCTTTCCCACTTCTAGACTGGTGAATTGCTATCTCACTTCCAGCTTTTGTCGAGGCCTCTTCTCGGTTCTAAGTACCAACCAGAACCTCACTGAACTGGACCTCAGCGACAATGCGCTGGGGGACCCAGGGATGAGGGTGTTATGTGAAACACTCCAGCATCCTGACTGTAACATTCAGAGACTGTGGTAAGGTCCACGTGTGTGTATGTGTGTGTCTGTGTGTGTATCAGTGTGTGTGCACAAGGAGGGTTTTGAGGGGGCTAGTCAGTTGTTCCTAGGTGCTGATAAGTACTACAGACTGAATGTCTTCAACAACATAAAATTATCATCCCACAGTCCTGCAGGCTAGAAGTCCAAGATCAAGGAGTCAGCAGGCCTCTCCCTCTGACTTATACATGACCATCTTCTGTCTTCTCCCTGTGTCTTCACATTCTCTTTGGCTGTGTATTTGTGTGTGTGTGTGTGTGTGTGTGTGTGTGTGTGTGTGTGTGTATTCTAACTTCTTATAAAGGCACCAGTCACAGTAGGCTAAGGCCCATACTAAGAGCCTCGTTTTAACTGAATTATCTGATTGAAGAACTTATTTCCAAATACAGTCATATTCTGTGGTCCTATAGGGATGTGGCATGTGAAGTTTTAGGGGAACATAATTCATTCCATTACAAGTGGAAGGCAGAATGCATTGGAGGTCAGTTTGGGAACTTTTGGACAGGGAAGAATGAAGAGGAACTGAAAAGAAAGGCATTTCTTGGTTGTAAAACAAAAAGGCCATGACTATCAACAGCTTTCATTTCCTCCTTGACTGTGCTCATAGATGAGAGTTGGAGAATTTCATCATAGGTGATGATGGCTATCTTCGGCAGCAAAATGTTTTGTACAGATTGCAATGTCACAGAGGACCTCCTGGGCTTCATTAGTAACATCCTCTCTCTCAGTCTGTTGTGAGTCAGATTCATGGGTTCTAGGTTGAGCACATGGGGCCTGGGCCGTGCCTCCAGCTCTGTTTCAGCACCCCCTCTGTGGAGGTCTGTCAGACCCTGTATTTTGACAAGCTACACAGCCAATATTAAAGCCTACTTTTTTTTTTTTTTATGTTCTGGTCTCACAATTTTTTGGTCGCAAACTCCTAGGCTCAAATGATATTCCTATATCACTTCAGCTGCCCAAATGGTACTATGGGCTCTTAAAGTCCACTTCTCTGGGATGTCTTCTTTCTTCCTTTATTCATCTTACCCACTCATGGCCGATCTTATCAATTTTACCTACTACATGCACATTGTCATTGTCCTCATCTTCACTCCACCAGCCTGGGTACAGCAACCACCTTTACTTGTCTGGATATTGCAGTGACCTCCTGAACTGTCAGCTCCCGAGGGCAGGATTCCTGTTTGTCTTGCGATTGTCTTCGAATGTCTGACAGACATCTTAGTACATGTTAGTATTCAAAAGTGCATATTGAATGGATGTTAGCTATTTGATCTCTTTGCATCTCCCTTTGTTCCCCGTCCCATACAAAAGAGAGGGGATTATTTAGAAAATTTAATTGTTTTGAGTCCAGCTTTCACTATGTACCCAGGTTGGCCTGAAACTTGAGTCTCCTGCCTCTGCCTCCTGAGTGCTGGGATTATAGGCCTGGGCCTCCGTGACTGGCTAGAAATTTATAATTTTCTTTTCCAATTCTGAGGTTTGAATTCAAGGCCTCATTCTTGCTAGGTAGGCATTCTACCACTTGAGCTACTCTGCCAAATCTAATTTGATCATGCCATTCCCTTGCTTAAGTGCATTTTCTTTACTCTTGATCAATTATAAATCTTCATCTCGCCTTCAAGGCTTCATCGTGTGACACTTTGCCATTCCCATGACACTAGAGAGTGACACAAGAACAGGGAAGCATAGACAGTGACATGTTTTGCAGCTAAGGAGAGATCCAGCTGTCCATTTGATGATAGCTGGTATGAACATGGGGACAGAAAGAAAGGTGGTCCAACAGGCTCTAAGACATATGAAATATTGGCCTGGAAGGAGGCTGGAATGGTGTTTTCACTTCCATGACTGGGACAGATTGTTTTTGATGGTGGTAGTGGTGTGTGTGTGTGTGTGTGTGTGTGTGTGTGTGGTGTATGTATAGTTATAAAATGTATTTGTCAGTTTTCTATTACTAAGACAAAATACCTGAGGTTGGGTACTTTGAAAAAAGAAGATATGTATTGAGCTCCCAGTTTTGAAAGTTTAAAGTCCAAACAGCATGATGCCAGCTCTGGTGAAGGCCAAATGGTGGGTGGCACCATTGTGGGAGTGTGTGCCAGAGGGAGAGATCACACACTGAGACTTGTGTCTTAGCCAGAAAGCGGGGAAGGGTCAGTCTCCCTCTTTTTATAACTGGAGTCCAATGATAACAGTGTTAATCTCTTTTGAGGGCAACGCTTCAGGTGACCTAATTACCTTTCACTTAGCCCACCTTTTATTATTTATTTATTTATTTATTTATTTTGGTGTTACTGGGGTTGGAACTCAGGGCCTCTGCTTGCTAAGAGGCACTCTACCACTTGAACCAACCTTTTAAATGTTTCACTACCTCCTAACATTGCCACACTGAAGACCAAGGTTCTGACACATGAACCATTGGGACTGCAAACCTTGGGAACCAAACCATATGCAAACCACAGCACAAAGTGAATAAGGAATCAGAGCTCCTTGTTGCCTTAGTTTCTCCATCAGTGTAAATGGAATGCTGAGATTAAATTAGCAAGCAGAATAGGGGGAACAATGTTGGCAAAGATGGGAAGTAGATGAGAATGAACCTAGTGACAAAGATGCCTAGAGAGGGCATGTCAACCACAAGAAACACGTGGGAAAGAGGTGGAACCTGCAGCTTCACCAGCTTTTCCTTTTGAAAACCAGAATATTCCATTTGTGTACATGAGGGTCAATCATACTGTGTCTGGCATTGTTTCCTGCAGGGAACTCTCCATACTGTGGCCTTGGGCTGTGAGCAGGTGAGCCTGGGAGCTCACTTTCTAACCTGTCTTGGACTGTCAGAAGCTCTCTGGTCACATGATCTTCCATAAAAACCTTGTTATCATTTTCCCCTTGCAACCCTAGAACACATGAGACTCTGCCTGGTGCAGAAATTAGATTGGGGTGCCACAGTGAATGAGGTGGTATGACTTAGCTTTCCATCAATGTGAAAAAACCTGAGAATCAACATATGAGGAGCAAAAGTTCATTTTGGTTTAAATTTTCAGTCCGTGGTCACTTGGCTCTTTACTTTGGGCTGTAGTAAGGCAGAGTGTGACAGAAAGAGAGAGAAAAATCAGATGCCCATATTCCTCAGTGACCTCACTTCTTTCACTACAGGTGCCACTACCTCCCAATGGCTTCAATACATGACCTTTAGGGGATATGTAAGATGCAAATCTTAACAGAGGTCACATTTTGATGCTCTCTGCTTCTATACTTGGCATGAAGGTTGGGGCGCTGTGGCCTGACGCATCAGTGCTGCTTTGACATCTCCTCGGTCCTGAGCAGCAGCCAGAAGCTGGTAGAATTGGATCTAAGTGACAATGCGTTGGGAGACTTTGGAGTCAGACTTTTGTGTGTGGGCTTGAGGCATCTGTTCTGCACTCTGAAGCAGCTCTGGTGAGTCTGAACTTCTTATGTCTTTTAGAAGCTCTGTCAATGTGGCCTGTTTTGAGGGCTCTGACTTCAGGGAGGCACAGGAGCTGTGCTCAAGGATGAGAATGGACTTGGCTTCTCCAAGGATTTCCTGTGTTCATCTCTGTTATTTGTCAATCACTTAGTTAGTGTTTGCTGTGAGGAACACCACATATGAAAGTTCTGGGGCTGTGAGACATAAACAAACACATGATACTTTCCTTTAACGTACTCATAGAATAGTTGAAAAAATAAAACCAGGGTAATGCAGTGCTTTAGAAGAGTTTTGAAACTTCATGGTAAGCCCCTGGTCCTCACACTAAATAGAAAAAATGGGGGCTGAGGGCATGGCTTAAGTGGTAGAGCACCTGCCAACTAAGTGCAAGGCCCTGAGTTTGAACCACAGTACTGAAAAAAAAAAGAAAAAGAAAAATGGTGCTAAGGTGATGGAGACACTTTACTGAACATGTCTGGGAGACTTGAATTCTGCACAAGAGAAAAAAAGTACTTAAAAATGGTAGGGAAGATTCACACTCATTACTACAGCAATTGTAGTAAAAAACCCACAACAAACATTCAAGAAAACTGGAGAACAAGAGTTGGCAAGGATGTGGGAAAATCAGAGTCCTTGTGCATTGCTAGCAGGAATGTGACATGGCACAGCCATTGTGGAAAACAGTATGGAGATTCCTCAAACAATTGAGCATAAATTGCGATTTATGACAGAAATTGCACTTCTGGGTATGTATACATATGTATTTGTACTCCATGTCTGTGTTGGTAATAATAGCCAAAAGGTGGAAATAGGTCAAGTGTCCATCAAAAGATGAATGGAACTGGGTGCTGGTGGCTCACACCTGTAAGGAGGTAGAGATCAGGAGGATCATGGTTGAAAGCCACCATGGGCAAATAGTTCCCAAGATCCTATCTTGACAAAACCCATCACAATAAAGGGCTGGTGGAATGGCCCAAATGGTGAGAGTACCTGCCTTGCAAGCATGAGGCCCTGAGTTCAAACCTCAGTGCTTCCTCTCAAAACAGATGAATGAATAAAAAAGTGAAATATGCATGGGTAGCATTTTGAAAGGACTACAAAAGGTTCTTTTGAAAGAACCTCGATTACATTTTGCTGAGTGTGATAAGCCAGTCACACAGTGCAAATACTGTATGATTCCATGATGTAAAGTACCTAGCAGAATAGTCAAAGTCATAAGCAGAAGGTAGAAAGGTGCTTTCCAGGGTCTTTGGAGGGACAAATTATTTTATGGGTAGAGTTTCAGTTTTGTAAGATGAAAAAAGTTCTACAGATGGATAGTGTTGATGGTTGCACAAAAATATGAATGTACTTAAAGCCATTGACATGATCTCTTAAAATGGTTAAAGTGGCAAATTTTATCATACACATTTTTACCACAATAAAAATAATTGTAGGGAGTGGGGAAGAAGCACCTTGGAAGGTGCTTACTTGTTATTACACCAAACAAAAAAGGAAATAAAGTTTTTGGAGTTTGAATGCACTCTCTTCCTGTGTGTGGATCAGAGGAGAAGAGCAGCAGGTAAAAGTGTCTCCTTAGTTCATGGTGGAGAGTGGGTGAGAGGTGTGACTGACCTTCTGCCATCTCTGTGGAAGGTTGGTCAGCTGCTGTCTCACATCAGCATGTTGTCAGGATCTTGCGTCTGTCCTGAGCACCAACCATTCCCTGACCAGACTCTTCATTGGAGAAAATGCCTTGGGAGATTCAGGAGTTGGAATTTTATGTGAAAAAGCCAAGAATCCACAGTGTCACCTCCAGAAACTGGGGTAAGTCTTCATAAGTATCTCAGCAGAAAAAGAAATTATCTTCAGAGACAAATTATTTGGAAAATGTGAATGGGATTACTCTAGAAAAGTTTAACCACTGAACTGAAGGTAAGAACATCAGTAACAATACCAGAAATGGCCCAAAAACATTACTACATTTGCCCTAGATCTAAAGTCCACATATGAGGGAGAACATACAAGTTTTGGTCTTCTGAGCCTGGCTAACCTTGCTTAGGATGATGTTCTCCAGTTATATCCATTTACTTGCGAATGATAAGATTTCATTCTTCTTCATTGCTGAGTAAATTCCATTGTGTGTAAATACCACATTTTCTTAATCCATTCATCAGTAGTGTGGCATCTTTGTTGTTTCCATAACTTGGCTATTGTGGCTAGCACTGCAATAAACATGGGTGTGCAGGTGCCTCTGGAGTGACCTGAGTCGCATTCCTTTGGATATATCCTCAAGAGTGGGATTGCTGGATCATATGGCAGATCTATATTTAGATTTTTAAGAAACCTCCATATTGATTTTCAGAGTGATTGCACTAGCTTGCATTCCCACCAGTAGTGTAGGAAGGTTCCTTTTGCCCCACATCCTCACTAACACCTGTTATTGGTGGTGTTTTTGATGACGGGGTGAGGTGGAATCTTAGTGTGGTTTTGATCTGCATTTCCTTTATGCTCAGAGATGGTGAACATTTTTTCATGTGTTTTTTGGCCATTTGAATTTCTTCTTTTGAGAAAGTTCTGTTTATTCAGTTGCCCATTCCTTTATTGCTTTATTGATTTTGGGAGAGTTTAGTTTTTTGAACTCCCTGTATATTCTGGTTATCAGTCCTTTGTCTGATGTATAGCTGGCAAATATTTTCTCCCACTCTGTGGGTGGTCTCTTCAGTTTAGAGACCATTTCTTTTGTTGTGTAGAAGCTTTTTAATTTTATGTAGTCTCATTTGTCCATACTTTCTATTAGTTGCTGAGCTGCTGGGGTTCTATGGAAGAAGTCCTTGCCTACACCTATTGCTTCCAGAGTATTCCCTGCTCTTTCCTGTACTAACTTCAGAGTTTCAGGTCTGATATTAAGGTCCTTGATCCATTTTGAGTTGATTCTAGTACAGGGTAATAAACATGGATTTAGTTTCAGTTTTTTGCAGGCAGATAACCACTTTTCCCAGCAACATTTGTTGAAGAAGCTGTTTTTTTCTCCATCATAAGTTTTTGGTGCCTTGTCAAAGATAAGATGGGTATAGCTATAAGGGTTCATATCCGGGTCCTCTATTCTGTTCCACTGGTCTTCATGTCTGTTTTTGTGCCAGTACCATGCTGTTTTTATTGCTATTGCTTTGTAATATAGTTTGAAGTCGTGTATTATGATACCTCCAGCATTGCTCTTTTTGCTGAGTATTGCCTTGGCTATTCATGGTCTCTTGTGTTTCCCAATGAACATTAGGGTAGATTTTTCAATCTCTGTGATAAATGTCATTGGAATTTGATGGGAATTGTGTTGAACATGTTGATTGCTTTTGGTAGCATAGCCATTTTTACTATGTTGATTCTACCAATCCATGAGCACAGGAGATCTCTCCACCTTCTGTAGTCTTCCTCAATCTCTTTCTTCAGGGATTTATAGTTCTCCTTGTAGAGGTCATTCACATCCTTTGTTAAGTTTAGCCTAGGTATTTGATTTTCTTTTGAGGCTATTGTAAATGGAATTGCTTCCATATATTATTTCTTAATTTGTTCATTGTTGGTGTATAGAAAATCTAATGATTTTTGTAAGTTGACTTTGTATCCTGCCACCTTGCTGTAGCTGTTTTTGGTGTCTAGGAGTTTTTGGTAGAGTTTTTTGGGTCTTTAGGGTATAGGATCATGTCGTCTGCAAATAGGGATATTTTGACAGTTTCTTTACCTATTTGTATTCCTTTTATTTCTTCTTCTTGCCTAATTGGTCTGGCTAGGAATTCAGGACTATGTTGAATATGAGTGGGGAGAATGGGCACCCTTGTCTCATTCCTGATTTTAGGGAAAATGGTTTCAGTTTTTCTCTATTAAGCATGATGTTGGCTATAGGTTTGTCATACATAGCCTTTAAAATGTTAAGGTACTTTCCTTCTATTCCTAGTTTTCTTAGAGTTTTTATAATGAAGTGGTGTTGGATCTTATTGAAGGCTTTTTCTGCATCTATTGAGATGATCAAGAGATTTTTGTCTTTGCTTCTACTAATGTGCTGTATTACATTTATAGATTTGCATATGTTGAACCACCCCTGCATTCCTGGGATGAAGCTGACTTGGTCGTGGTGAATGATCTTTCTGATGTGTTGTTGAATTCGGTTTGCCATTAAATATTGAGGATTTTTGCATCTATGTTCATTAAGGAGATTGGCCTATGGTTTTCCTTTTTGGAGGTGTCTTTGGTTTTGGGATAAGTGTAATACTGCCTCCATAAAATGAGTTAAGCAGTTTTTCTTCCCTTTCTATTTCATGAAACAGTTTAAGGGGGGTTGGTATTAGTGCTTCTTTAAAGGTCGGATGAAATTCAGCAGAGACTCCATCAGGTCCTGCACTTTTCTTTATTGGGAGACTCTTTATGGCTGCTTCAATTTCATTTTTTGTTATAGATCTATTCAGATGATTAATATTCTCTTTGTTTAATTTTGGATCATCATAAGTATCTAGAAATTTGTCCATTTCTTGAAGATTTTCAAATTTATTAGACTATAGGTTCTCAAAGTAGTCTCTGATAATTTCCTGGATTTCCATGGTGTTTGTTGTTATCTCCCCTTTTGCATTTCTGATTTTACTGATTTGGGTTTTTTCTTTCCTCATTTTAGTCAGGTTTGCCAGGGGTCTATCGATCTTGTTAATTTTTTTCAAAGAACCAGCTTTTTGTTTTGTTGATTCTTTGTTTTTTTTTATGTTTCTAGTTCATTAATTTCAGCCCTTATTTTTATTATTTCTTTCCTTCTGCTTGTTTTGGGATTTGCTTGTTCTTGTTGTTCTAGGAGTTTGAGATGTAGCATTAACTGATTTATTTGAGATCTTTCTGTCCTTTTAATATATGCATTAATTAGGACTGCCTTTGCTGTGTTCAATAGGTTCTGGTAGGTCGTGTTTTCATTTTCATTAACTTCCAGGAACTTTTTAATTTCCTCTTTTATTTCATCAATGACCCACTGATCATTGAACAATGTGTTGTTCAGCTTCTAATTGTTTATGTGTTTTCTACTGTTGTTTTTGTTGTTGATTTCTAGTTTTAATGCATTGTGGCCAGATAGAATGCATGGGATTATTTCTATTTTCTTATATTTGCTGAGGCTTGCTTTGTGCCCTAAGATATGATCAATTTTGGAGAAGGTTCCATGGGCTGCTGAGAAGAATGTATATTGTGTGGAATTTGGATGAAATATTCTGTAGACATCAGTTAGGTCTTTTTGATCAATGGTGTGATTTAATTCTAGAATTTCTTTATTGATTTTTTGTTTGGATGACCTATCTGTTGGTGATAGGGGGTATTAAAATCTCCCAGTACCCCTGTGTTGGAGTCTATATATACTTTTAGTTCCTTCAGAGTATGTTTGATGAAACTGGGTGCACTGACATTGGGCACATATAGGTTGATAATTGTTATTTCCTTTTGGTGTATTTCACCTTTTATTACTTCTTTATCTTTATCTTTATGTCCTTCTTTATCTTGTTTGATCAATGTAAGTTTGAAGTCTACTTTGCCCGAGACAAGTATTGCTACCCAAGCATGTTTTCGGGGGCCATTGGCTTGGTAAATCTTCTTCCAGCCTTCCACCTTAAGCCAGTGCTTATTTCTGTCAATGAGATGGGTCTCCTGAAACAACAGATTGTTGGATCTTCCTTTTTAATCAAGTTTGCCAGAAGGTTTCTTTTGATGGGGGAGTTAAGTCCGTTAACATTCAGTGTTAGTATTGAAAGGTATGTGGTGATTCCTGTCATTTAGTTGTTTTCATTGTTTAAGGGTTTGATTGTGTGCAGCTGAATCAATGTTCTCTTGGATTCCTTGTCTTTTCTTCTCCTGTGTTTTGGTACTGTCTGTACTCTCATGGTTTTGTTTGCTTTCATTTTCTGTGTGCAGAAGTCCTTGAAGCATCTTTTGTATTGGTGGCTTGGTGGTTAGATTTTGTTTTAGTTTCTGTTTATCATGGAAGACTTTTATTGCTCCATCTATTTTGAATGATAGTTTTGCTGAGTAGAGTATCCTAGGATTGAAGTTATTTTCATTTAGTGCCTGGAAGACCTCACCCCATGCCCTTCTTGCTTTTAAGGTTTCCATTGAGAAATCTGCTGTGATTTTGATGGGTTTCCCTATGTATGTTATTTGTTTTTTCTCTCTTACAACCTGTAATATTCTTTCTCTATCCTCTGTACTTGTTGTTTTAATGGTAATATGTCGTGGGGTAGTTCTATTTTGGTCAAGTCTATTTGGTGTCCTGGAGGCTTCCTGTACCTGAATGGGCATAGCTTTCTCTAGATTTGGGAAATTTTCTGTTATTATTTTGTTGAATATATTATGAATCCCTTTTGTTTGCACCTCTTTTCCTTCTTCAGTGCCTATCATTCTCAGGCTTTGTGTTTTGATGGAGTTGGTGAGTTCTTGCATATTCCTTTCACAGGTCTTGAGTTGTTTGACTAAAAGTTCTTCAGTTTTTCCTTTAATTTCTATTTTGTCTTCAAGTTCTGAGATTCTGTCTTCCATTTGTTCTAGTCTGCTGGAGTGACTTCCATTGTGTTTTGTATTTTTGTTTCATTCTTTTTTCTGAGGTTTTCCATATCATGGGTCCCTTCCTCTTTAACATTGTCAATGTTCATCTTTAATTCATTTATCTGTCTATTTATAGTGTTCTCTGTTTCACTTTGGTGTTTATTAAGGGCTCCTATGAGTTCATTTATTTGTTTCTGTGTTTTCTCGTATTCTTTATTTTTGGTGTCTTGGAATTTCTTGAGTGCCTCTTTTATGTTTTGGTTGGCCAT